CCTCCAAACTAATATCAATGGCCTCAAACCTACTAGCGATGGCCTCAAGAGCTTCCAACGAAATTGAGTGGGCAACACATCAAGAACAAAAATCGACGTCGATTTGACCGTGGCTTTCTCCGAGTCTCTCGTATCGCGTCGACGTGTCGTTCGATTTCAGAATTCGACCTAAGACTTCACAAAACATCTTATTATATAACCCGTTTAACGTCCTTCTTCAGAAGTGCCTTTTTTCACCAAAACAAAAGACTTGTGTCTTTTGTTTGGTCTACCGCTGCTACCGAACTGAGATGAAAATTGCTGCTTGGGGTGAGGGTGTTCATATTCAGTAAACAGACAAACAAGGACACTACTAAGTCAGTTCTTTGGTTTGCTTGTTTGGCGGAGAAACTTGCGAGCATGGCGACAGGGTTTGGTTTGATATCCTTGGACACAGCACAGGTGTTCTGGCGTCCACTGTCCAGCAAATAGCGTAAGGTGAGGTGTGAATTTATTTGGGACCTTTCCAACCTTCCTCGTGTCATGCACTCTCTAAAGCCCGGTGTGGCAAATCTGGTATCGGTGTCGCAGCTGCGAGAGTGTTCCTGTCGTGCTAATGCGGGGGGTCTTTGCTTCACAGATTTGCGTTGAGAGTATATAAGCTGGGAATATATAATATAGATTATGTATATAAATATAGAGAGAGATGCTCCTTCAACGGCTTTGCGTGCCAATTCAAATTAGACTGCCTGACATGAATCCCAGTCATGTTTTTTGTCATGTCTTGATTTGATCATGCTTGCAGACTTTGATGATGCGTTCATGTTCTTGTTTGGTGTTGTTTCCTGTCTGGTTTGGTGCTGTGCTCTACCACATGTTTCGCAAGTTCATCACATCTGTTTAGTACCCTTCTTGATACAATGCGCATGTTGTTCACAGGTTCCGTGACAATGTTCGCAAGTTTTGACCAGCCTCAGCATCACGGTCAATCGGAAAGGGGCAGCCAAGGCACTGCAAGTCTCTGCACTGGTTACAGTTTCAGCTTAGAGTCAACTGAGTGCAACAGCAGGGAGAAAAAGGGGGAGATGGGAGCCCAGCTGTGCGTTCAAAGCTTCCCAAAAGTCTTGGATTCCTCTCCAAGATGTCACGGCTTAGAAAAAAAAGGAAGCAACAATAGTCAAACGGGGTGTCGAGCCACGTCCGCAGGAATCAAAACCTACGAGGTGATGTTCGCCTCTTATATTCGCGTGAAATGCATGTCTCCCCGCAAACTTTTTCGCTCAGAACAAGAAGTCTAGGTCCTTTTCAGCGAACGTCTGCTTAGGGCGCCCGATAGTAGAACTCCAGCCTTCTTGCCTATTGAAAATACATAAACAATGCGGTCCCCTGCATTAAACGCGACAACAATTGACAATACCAAGCCCCCAACACCTCTTCAACTTGGAGCCCCACATCGTTATTTAAGGGCTGACGCCCAACAGCCGCCCAGGGCGTGGTTGAGGAGACCACCACACGATGCAGGTTATGCACGCCGGTGCGTCACGCATTTCTAGCACTATGCGTCCGTGTTGGGCCTATGTTTGGAGCTATGTTGGTGGTATTTTGGGCCACTTCTGTTGACATACGCTTCAGATGCGACTTTTTCCGCTCCGGACCCCTCTCCGAGACCGAAGCCACATAAAAACAATTGTTTTTGATGTGGCTAAGGTCGAGTCCGGCCCCATCCAAGCGCACAAAACACTGTAAAACGCGATGCGCTTGAACGTCGCACGCAAAAAGCACTGCAAAACACAGGGGGTCGTAGGTCTAAGCAAAGAAAAAGGGGAGGGATTGTTGTTGTTGTTGTTGTTGTTGTTGTTGGTAGAGACAAAAACAGCTGCCCAACATAGTCGTCACATGTTGCAAGTCAGGGATTTCAAAGGGACACTGTTAGGGATAGGGTCGAAGGTTTGGAGAGATGTTAGTAGCTGGACTTCTTGTCATTGTGGTACTCAAGTCTTGGTTGGTCTGTTTCTTGTTTATTGATGTTTTTGGGGATGTTGTTCTGGAGGGGGGGTCAAAAAACAACAACGGGGCTGCAGATTTTGTTTCTAGGGGGGGTAGAGACAACAACATCTTCTGAGGGGGGGGGGTTCAAAAAAACAACAACGGGGCTGCAGTGTTTGTCTCTAGGATGTGGTAGAGGTTCTAAGTAGAAGTTTTACGGAGGCTTAGCTGACCGGACTACCACCACCACCACCACTTCTTCTACTACTACTACTGCTACTACTACTACTACGACGACGACTACTACGACGACTACTACGACCACTACAACAACGACTACTACTAGTACTAGTACCACTAGTACTAGCACTAGTACAAGCACTACCGCTACTGGTAAAAGTACATGTTGGCTGGTTGTTTTCGGGGGGGGGGTTCAAAATAACAACGACGGGGTTGCAAATTTTGTTTCCACCCCCTTGTAGAGACAAAGGACCAAGATAGCTTGTAACGGGGCTGCAGTTTTTGTTTGTACCTTGTTGTTGTTGTTGTTGTTGTTGTTGTTGCTGCTGCTGCTGCTGGTGTTGTTGTTGTTGTCGTTGTGGTGGTTGTTGTTGTTGTTGTTGCTGGTGTTGTTGTTGTTGTTGTTGCTGTTGTTGTTGTTGTGGTTCTTGTTGTTGCGGTGGTTCTGGTTGTGGTCTTGGGGTCAGGTCGAACCTAGCTTTGGGCTATGTGGGGCGGTCTCGGGGCGATGTTGAGCCCATGTTGGCTCTATGTTGTGCCATCTAGGGCCTATGTTGGCCCACCTTGGCCCTGCCTATGTTGGGCCATCTTGGGCCCATGTTGAGCCAGCCTACCTTGGGCCTATGTTGGCCTATCTTGGACCCAGGTGGAGCCCGTCTTGGGCCTATGTTGGCCCATCTTGGGCCTATGTTTGGAGCTATGTTGGAGCTATGTTGGGACTACTAAGATGACATACTCTTAAGATGCGAGTTTTTCGGTCCTGGACCCCCTCTCCGAGGCCAAAACCACGTAAAAACCGAGGTTCTTTAACATCGCCAAGATGAAATCCATGGCGTTCGACGGGTCCAAAACCCTGTAAAACACAGTGTTTTTGAACAGCGCGCGCAAAAAACACTGTAAAACACGGTGACGTAGGTGGGTCGGCGGTGGGTCGGCGGCAGGGATCTCCTAGGGAGAGGAGAGACCCTTCGGGAGAACACGGCCAGCGGGCCCCTAGCCGGATCCCCAGCCCAAACCCCCAGCCGCCGACAAACAATGCTCTGAAGCAACCACTGGTAAAACTCCAAAACTCTGTAAACAATGGCTTGAAACAGTGCACCTTTTCTCGCCAGGTGTTCTCGTGTCTCTTTCGCGCGCCTCAACATCCTGTCCGAGCAAACAACAAACATATTCCAGGTGCAGTAGGGCTTGATCAGCTTTACTCGAAACAAGTTTGCAAACGTCCGTGGGTCATGCGACCAGATGTCGCTCGGTCGACCAGTATCTTCCAAGCTTCCTATCTCGGTTCTACTTCCACCAGACGGCGAGATAAATACCAACAACCGCAACTTTGTGTCAAACCAAAAAGTCGTCCGGAGCACGAGACATGGAGAGGGGACTACACACCAGCAAATGCATTGGGAAACAGATCGAGAGGTCAATTAAACAAAAAGAAGGAACAAATGGAGATCCAAAGGATCATATCTCACAGGAAGAAACTGTGAATCAAATGAGGCTGCAACCTGGTAGTGGGAGACCGGATTTTTTGAAGTCGCTGGCTTGGACTGGTTTCCTTTCCAAACGACTTCGCAATCAGATGCCACCACCTCGCCGTTGCTCGAGCCAATGAGGCCTGGGGAGTTCAAATGCTAATCGGGGCAGGGTGGTATGCATGTAAACAGGCCGCAACAAGACCGAAAAGCGAGCAAAGCATGCGATCCTCACGCCACCTAAGCCCAAAGCTGTGCAGTTTTTGGTCCCCCTCAGTGAGGGCCTCGTTGGCGACCCGGCCTCGGGCCGGCCCAGCTGAAAAAGATCACAAAAACTCGCAGGAAGACCTACCCTAACCGGAAGATCTACCCACCTCCCCAAAAAATCACCCATGACTTATATCCGCGCCTTGATGTGCTGGCTTCAGGATTTTGAGCTCTTTGCCCTTGTATCTGATGCCCTCCAAACGTTCCAAAAGTACTTTGGCCACTGCATCGGTGCGCAGGTGAAGCGTCGCCAAGAACGGCTTCTGGCGGGCTCAAAGCAAGGCCAGGAGCCCCTAGTAGCGTCCTTGCTCCTAGTAGCGATGCCCTTTGCTCCTAGGAGCTTCTTGTTACTAGTAGCAGCCAATGGTGATGAATAAAGACAGGGCAGCATCACTCTCGTGCATGATACACACGGCTGTGAGTGTTCGAGTTCTGGCTCTAGCTCCAAGACATCTTTGCCAACTGACGCAAACCATGCTGCGTTAAAGAATTGGCAGAGTTCTTCCTGGCAGAGGTGCTCAAAGTACACCAAAGCTTGGCAACGTCCATTTGTAGCCAATAGCGATGGCCTCCACCCTAATTGCGATGGCCTCCACCCTAATTGCGATGGCCTCCAACCTAGTAGCAAAAAACAATCCGGCAAACTAAACTGTCCTCTGTAGTATGCTCTGGCAGGCCATGCACATTGAGATCCTTGCACAAATGGGTTGGTCCCTGACTATCCCCGATTGGTCGAAATTGCATGCGACTTGCAGTTGGGGGAGCTTCATATTCATACTAACATAATAGTCACAAATGAAAGTATCAAGCACCTTGGCCCTCAAGTGACAAGTCTTTGTGTGAAGACTCCAAACTTGAGATGGCAGCACTTTGGTCTCAGGCCGACACCGGCATGGCCTATGCTCGGCGCCATCACCGCAGCTAGCGAGTGAGTTGTAGTTTTGAAACCTGGATAAGAAATACAAATACAATATGTATATACAAATGTATATATGTATATAACTGGGTTGAGAGCTACACTCAGGATATGGAGAGTGACCTGTAGCTGCCGTAGATGAGCATGTCACCCTGTCTTGCTCCTTTGAGACTCGTTCTTGCTCCTTTCCTATCTCTGCTTGCTGGATCCGAGTCAAAGCACGCAACCCCAAAAGCGGCTTAGAGTCTCTTCTCGACGCAAAATGGGTTCCCAAGAATTCTGCAGCTCCGAAGCACAGCACAAGACCCAAGAGTGAAATTGACCAAAAACAGCGGCTGCGAAAGTTTCAGTCGCTCCCAAGCAACCTCTAAGGCTTTCAGCAGCACTTTGCATAGTTTGGCAAGGTGAGCTGCAGGTGTGAAAGCGACATCTAGAGCTATGCGGGAGCTAAGCTGCTCGACCACAGAGTCACAAAGGGACTGCAAAAAGCAACGCAGCAACGCTAGATTTAGCAGTTGATTGCACGACCCACGGGACATTACGAGGCAGTGGCTAGCATGTTGCATGCTTCCCAAAGCACTGCATCACCAAACAAGGCAGCTCATGCTGTCCTTCAAGGTTCAATCGAATCAACGTTTGTGCAATAGCGCTCCAACAAGAAAGACTGGGAGAACGTGAACTGGCGCCTGCTTCTCTTTGGGCCCGCAATCTTTTTGGCCTTCCCAGTCACACAGGAGTTTGCGCGAACTTGCTCTTCTTTCTTGCAAACTCTACGAGATCAAGAAGTACCATCTCAGTGACAGCTAGACTCCTCTGATCTACCTTTGACGAGGCTGTACAAATGATACCAATGTTCCGTACAACTACGGAATGGGTACGAAAACGATCAGTTAAAAGCATGGACGGAGCATGGAATTTACCTCGTAGCACATTCTCATTATATATAAAAAAATATAGTTATATATGTTTTTTTCAGTTTGTCAAGACAGGGCATCGAATGGACCTCGTAACCCTTGTTTTTGATTCGGTTCATGGTGGCCATGATCTCCTTTGTCCAGGTGCTAGCTTCCAAGCATCACACTCAAAGAAGCTGGAACTGCAAAGTGCAAAGAAATCCAAACACGAGAGCATCCAAACCAATCCAGATTACGGGCACTGGAGTGCATGGTTGTTTCAACTGCCACTTCTATCCTAGTATGCCAGTATTAAAAAACATAATACTGGCAAAGTGCACCACGCCGTCGTCCCGGTCCTTTTTGAGCTTCTGCTCGTCGTACTTTGAGTTCTCCAAATCTTTTAGTTGACCCCTGGCACATGCACTAATATTGAATGCAAGCATGCAAACATGAGAAACATGCACATGCAAATTATCGCAAATCAGCCGCTTTGACTGCAGCAGAACTGAGTCCAGCGCTCGTAGGCTTTGAAAAGCAAGTCGTAAAGCTCCGGCAAATCCTCTAAAACTCACAAGGATCCCTTAAACACTCTCAAGGGCAAAGCAACCTGATGCAAACAGATCTAGAAAGTCGGCCTGTGAGCCTGGAATCGATTGACCTGTGGCAGCTTAAGATCTCATTCACTTTCGTTAGATGCTTTCATGGGCAACGAAAACCCCGTGATGTGAACTTCAAACCTGCGATGGACAATACAACAAATAATGGAGGGGAGGTGCATTTCGCAAGCATTTATCAAATCTTGGAGGGAAAGTCCGTCTTTGATCAATCTTTGCTGAGGATTCGCATGCCCTGTTGATCGTCGCCAGAACATATCCAAACAGAAGTAACATAAGCATAAAACATTAACATCCAAGTCGGAAGTTGTATGTACTTGGAAAGCTTTCGTGGGAGCAGCATGAATCAAAAGAGTAAAGGCCACGACATGTGGGTAAAACGCAGTTCAATTAACAGAGCTGGGCAGAGTTCTGAGCATGGCCTGACGAATGTAACAAAGTTTTTGAGCAAGTGCCAAGAGCAATTCTCTTGTCTTGCCAAGGTTTTTAGACACAGAACAACGAATCACCATCTACAACCACAGGTTTTGCTTGTGTCGTCTTAAACTATCGCCTTTTGATGGAGTCCATATTGTCAAGCTGTGGGCAAGGTAGATCAATGCTCTGGGCGTAAATTGTGCATGAAGATACAATAATGAACACCTTAGTACTCGCGGTATACTCTGCCGTCTAGAGGCGACAACACCATTCTGAAGTTCTGAAGTTCAAGACTGTCATAATCACACCAACTCACGGCCGAAGTTTGTTCCCGATAGACCAACACACAACAGCAATCAGTGGTTGGCACCGGTGGATCTCAAACGATGAAGCTAATGAGTCGCACCAACGATTGAAGTTCTCAGTGAGTGTTTGAAGTTTTCATCTACCCAAACATACCAGGAGCGTGTGCTCTTGTTTACATCTATCCAAGTGCAGAATCTTGTTGAACCAATGAATTTATATACAGGTTGAACATGGGAATGAGAGGGGACCTAACAATTTTTTTCCATGTCGACCAGCAACCAACTTCCAAGGTCCTTCTTCATGAAATTGGCAAAGCATGGGCACGTCTCCTTCACCCACTGCAGGCTAGGCGTCTTAATGTGTTGCACGCTCGTGAAAGATTGAGATTTTTCCGATGTTCTTAATGTGTCTAGAACAAACAAGCCGATTTTCGATTGCCCACAATCTGCATCTTGAAGTGGCTTCCAACATCGCTAAAATGTCTTGGCAACTACATGTCGTTGTGAAGTGCAACTTCCCCCTTGCCTGCGGTCGCAAGTCAATCATGTCACCATGCGAGTTTCGAAAAACTCCTCGAAACCTCAGAATCATCGTCGAGTTGGTTAAACGGCGCATTCCGATTCCAGACATTGTGGTTGATCCATGCTTTGTCATGATGGAATGGTCATTCTTCGCGGAAAAATTGTTTCGCAGATCTTTCGCGGCCTCATCGCCAAAAAATTGTCCTAAAACCATGTCTAGTTAACATGAGCTGGCACTGTATATGTTTGTGTCACAGAATAGGGACTGATATCTTGCAGCATGACCCCAGCACAAGGTTGAGAGCTGTCACAGCTACTCAGGGTCGCTTGCAGCATCTGCGCGACATCTGTGTGACAAACAATATCCTAAGTTCTGGAAGAGGCTTAGAATGAGTCAGGCACAACTCAACCCAATCCTCGTGCCAACTACCAACAGGGTGATGCAGCTCGGGGAATGCTGGGGGGCCTCAAGCTTGGAACCTGGCACACTCGCGAAAAGTTCGCGGATCTTTCGCAAAATTTCACAGGTGATTTTTCCGGGAAAGCACAACATGTGCAAACATCTGCACAGTCCATCAGACCTGCGGGCCGTTGCCTCAGCGTCAGGGTTGGGAAAATCATGTACGCACTGTCAGGGCTGCGCAAGAAGTTATATAAGTTGTCAGGTTGTCAGTTTGTGACAGTGGGGACAGGAATCGGAGAGTCCTTTACGCACTGCGAGGGCTGGGCAAGGAAACGTGGAGGCTTCAGTTCGTTAGTCTGTGACAGTATGCGGGGACACTTCCGCCCACCGGCTCTGCCGGAGGAATGCCTTGTATTTCTACCATTTGTCGGTCGGTAGAAAGGAAAAAATATGAAAGCGCAGTCCCTCGATAAATCTTTCGCGAACAAAAAAATACTTTCGCAAACCTCATCGGGAATCTTTCGCGGATGGTTTTAACAACATCTGAAAGGCTGTTTTGTATAAACTCCTTACACATAGATTAGATCAACTCCCACATGGCTCATGACCAGGCTCATGGAACCCAGCAAAACCCTACCATGGACAGCCCATTTGGGTCAACCGATCCATACCCCTTTGAGTCAACGATGCAAATCTTCTTTGACTTTTGAATGTGTCACTATGTGTTTCAAAAATAGGGACCGCTGAAGTCCCATGCGGACCGATCACAACAATTTGCCCTAATGAATGGTCAAGTACCCAAACACCCATACGCTACAGGAGCAATGGGACTGGGGCCCCATCTGCGAAAGCTGATAGACTTTTCGGTATCCTCTGTCGTCCTGATGTTCCGGCATTGTGCCCAGCCAAGACAGTCTAGAATTGTCATCTTTTACCAGCACAAGATGATACAAGTGATTTTGGCCACCATGTTTCTTGGTTCCTGGCAGATGCCACAAAAGGAGAACCAGTACAAGGCCCTGCCTCCTCTGGTACCCACTCCCATTCTTGGATGGTCACCTGGGGCTTGTTGAGAATGTCAACATTGCATATGACTTGACACTGTGAAGCAAGAACGCTACCAGGAGCAAAGGGCATCGCTACTAGGAACAAGGACGCTACTAGGGGCTCCTGGGCATACTAGGAACAAGAAGCTATTAGGAACAAGAGACCTAAGTTCGTCACCTGCCGTAGACGCTTGGCTTCCAGCTTCGGCTTGTAGAAGTCCTGAGCAGAATTCCAAGCGTCCCAGACCCCGGCATGGAAAATCTAGCTGCAGGGGCCAGGGGCATTCAAAATCGATTCAATCTGCAAGGAGAAGTGCCAGAAAGAAGGTTCCAAGCAACTAGGCCAGATGGGAGGCCAGGCAAGCAAGAGAAAACTGGAGACAAGTTCAAGCTACGCAACATAGGAACAAACCTACAAGCGAGGTGCGATCTTGGTGTGTGCCAAGCCGCCCAGGGACACAAGCCACTAGCAGTGACAGTGGGAAAGAGGGCGGGAAGCCCACAGACAAGCCGCATGGTCACAAAAGCCCCCTCTTCAAAGATGCACGAATAATATATAAACGAAGGGCACAGAAAGTAGATGTCTTCAAGGCCACCAACAGAACCAGCACTCACTGGAAGACATGGGGAGCTCTTTCAGTGGAAGCCAATGGAAGGGTCAGCCAAATATAAAAAAGAAGCCTCCGAGCTCAGCAACACACCATCTGCAATGGAGACACATAGCCATCGAGAGTCACTGGACTCACTGGACGACATGGGACAAGCAGGTGGGCAACCAATATATACAGTAATATATATCTCAACATCCCAACTCCCACTAGTCTA